AGTTCAACTGGCCTAAACTTGAAGTCTACAAGTTCAACTGGCCTAAAAGTTCTTTGTCCATTAAGTGTCTTTTGTTTAGGCATGTTAGAATCTAACTAAATAAAAAAAAAATATCAATACTTAATACTCCATATTATAACTGCTGCTAGAATTTCCTTCGCCCCAAACTGGAAACAGCCTATGACCTCCCCCAGAAACCGCAATAATGAATAAGATTTTCGAAAGTGCCAAAATGGACAGATTGACGATGTTACTGAAAAATAAGGAAGAAGGAGAATATTACGAGATATGAGATGTTTGGTACAAATGGCTAAGGGGAAGACGCAAAGGCATCAAATGATAATGTGTGCGAAATTATAAATACCGTCTATGTGTAAATATATGTATATATGTATAAAAATGTTTAGAATGGGGAAGAATCTAACACAGCTATGGATAACATAGTTGTAGATGTTATTAAGCAGTGTAAACACTGTTACAGTAACGTTGAAAAATGTGGAGATCTGTTTTTAATTGTTGAAACGTTGAATAAACATTTATTTTTTTTAAAAAAAGAGTGGGGAACAGAGAGCGAAGGATGCATGCAAGCAAGCTGCCTGTCTTCCTCTTGAGTAAATTGAGCATTTGCTTCAGTTTTTCACCTAATCCCTTTTTCCTTCTTAACCTTAGGGAAAACAGGCCCCGCAACGGAGGGATCTGTGTGGCTAACCATACATCTCCAATTGATGTCATCATTCTGGCCAGCGATGGCTACTATGCAATGGTAAGGACAGCAATCCCATGTGATGACCCAGGGTGGGATACAAAACACAGTCACAGAAAATAGGTGAAGCCCCTTTTATTCCTTCACTTTGCTTCCAAGTTCCAAATATCCTTGACTGGAGCCAAAAATCCCCACACAAACAGTTACAAGAAGAAGGAAAAAAGCCAACACAAACCAGGCAAGATAAGGGCTAGAGGACGTCCACAGATAACACACACTGGGAAGGACACCAAACTCAGAAAGGAACTATAAACTAGAGATATTTACACACTTTGTTTCCAGCATGCGCCAGTACGCAGGTCCAAACTCTTAGCCAGGTGTCACAGCTGCAACCAATGAGGGGGCTCATGGCCGCTTCCTCTCTCGTAAGCCAAGTTGTTGCCTTCTCCGTTCCTCCCTGCGTGTCCTAGGATGAAGAGGGGATGGGCCTGGTTCTTCCTCTGACTGCCCAGCCGGCCTCTGCCCTTCCCCAGCCTCCTCCACAACCTCCGGAGCCACACTTCCACTCCCTGTCAGTTGTTCCTCCTCTCCCTCGGAGTCAGTCTCCATCAGGGCCATGACACCCCATCTGTCAGCGAGGGGTATTCAGATGTTTTGTAGGACAACGTGTCTTACGTGCCAAAGGCACTTTTCTTTCCGGATTAAACTATTCTGAATTAAGCTGCTATTTGGGGCCAGCTACATTATTCTGGTACTGCTGCAGGAAGTGACCTCTGACCTCCTCTTCTTTGCTCAGGTGGGCCAAGTCCACGGAGGGCTCATGGGCGTCATACAGAGGGCCATGGTGAAGGCTTGTCCTCATGTCTGGTTTGAGCGGTCTGAGGTCAAAGATCGCCATTTAGTGGCCAAGAGGTACGTAGCTTATGTCTTGCAGAGTGAAAGTGGAGCCCAGGTCTCGCTGGATTGCGTGTCCGCGGCCGAGAATCCAGTCCTGCGTTGCTGACATCTGATTCCAGAGCTACCAAGGCCGTTTCTTAAGATTCTCTTCCCTTTCTTTGTCTTCCTTTAGGCTAACAGAACATGCTAATGACAAAAGTAAACTGCCCGTCCTTATTTTCCCTGAAGGTAAGCGCCAGATTAAGAGAGAGGAATGAGTTTGTTACTTAAAATGGGTGAAATGGGAAGTTGGCCTTTTAAACCATGAGAGTCCAGAGAAAAGTAGAAAGAGAGAGAGACACACACGCACATAGCCCCCAGCTTCCTTTTCCTAACTGAACATGACCATAGAAAGTATCTTACTTACTTACTACTTACTGCACCTCTGTATGGTTTGCCAACTGCACAGTGGCAGCGCTCCAGAGGGTTAATGTCATTGCCCAGAGGATCACTGGTTGCCCTCTCCTCTCTTTGGAAGAGCTTTATAGCTCCCGCTGCCTCAAGAAAGCTCAAAACATCCTTAAAGTTCCTTCTCATCCTGGGAAATCTTTTTTTTTTTTTTGAACGATTACCATCTGGTAGATGGTACAGGATAATAAAAACAAGGACAAAGAGGCTGAAAAACAGCTTCTATCCCAGGGCAGTTCTCTCTCTCTCTCTCTCTCTCTCTCTCTCTCTCTCTCTTTTTACTTTTTTTTTCCTTCTCTACTTGCATTCCTTCCTTATCAAACGTTTAATAAAAATAATAACTAAACAAAAAAGGACAAAAGAGAACAACCGCTCCCATTTTCCTGTTCTGAGCTGAAAACCACTATTATTTGGAAGGAGCAGTGTAAATTAAAAGAGTTTGTCCTGTTCCCAAAGAAACTTATCATCCTGCTTTCTGTGTGCCGGTCTAAATGAGATGGGTTTTGATTAGATTGATTGGGTCAGGGGCTCCTTGTTTTAAGGTCTGGCCAGTCCCCATTGTAACATTATTCCCGCTACGAGCAGGTCTGACAGGAGATGATCTTTCATTTCTCTCAATAGGCACATGTATTAACAACACTTCGGTGATGATGTTTAAGAAAGGAAGTTTTGAGATCGACGCTACAGTTTATCCTGTTGCCATCAAGGTAAGGATTCTTGCTGCTCAGCAAACCCACTGAAACTGGAAGGTAAGAGATACAGATAAGAGTGGCACCTGGAAAGGTAGGCGTGGCTCAACTTTCTGGGTGTAGCAGAGATACCTGAAAGCAGGTAGGACCCAACATTTCATCAAGGCAGCTCCTGAAATGCCTTCCTGTAATCCCACAATCGTGTGTAACTGGAAGAACGTGGACTTTGGTACTCCCTGTGACCCACATGGCCTTAGGTCAGTAATCCTCAGGGAGGAAAACACCTGGTGGAGTCTGCCCACCGCATTGAATTTCCCTTTTTACGGGATTCAGCCAAACTGATCAAGAGAAGCGCCAAGGAGCCAGAATTGGATTTTGGTTGGGTCGGGACAAAGCCCAGGTGAGATTCTGACACCAGGGATCTTTTCAGAATCCCACCCTTCCAAACACAAACACTTACCACCCTGCCAACTGCCCTGTTAATCAGTTGTCAGAGACGCTTATTTTGGAGTGTAGGGATAACCGGTCCATGCTGGCTCAGGAATTCTGGGAGCTGAAGTCCACGGGTCATAAAGTTGCCCCAACCCTGATTGAAAGAGTCAACGACAGTCCGTACGCACCGTTGTCAGGCTTTGCATTGGTGAGAAGAACTCTTCAGGCACTATTAGCTGCCCTGGTTCCCTTTGGGATGGGTGCCCAGGCCTCCTCCCTACTCAATACCAGGAAGATACTGGGGGTGGTTTCAGAGGGTAGTCCTGAGGGTGAACCGGGACAATTTGTCCTGATGGGCTGATGGAACCTGTCCTAGAATCAGAACGCAGTTAGAGAAGAGACATTCTTGGGTATGCCATTCTTTCAACCACAGGGAATGGCGTGCACAGAAACATGTACCTGATGATCCTTGACTCTTGACAAATGTATCTTTTCTTTTTATGTACACTGAGAGCATTTGCACCAAGGGAAATTCCTTGTGTGTCCAATCACACTTGACCAATAAAGGATTCTATTCTAATTCTAATTCTATTCTTATTGTACCCTATGACTATCATTAAGTGTTGTCCCCGATGATTCTTGATGAATATATCTTTTCTTTTATGGACACTGAGAGCATTTGCACCAAGACGAATTCCTTGTGTGTCCAATCACACTTGGCCAATAAAGAATTCTATTCTATTCTATTCTATTCTATTCTATTCTATTCTATTCTATTCTATTCTATTCTATTCTATTCTATTCTTATTGTACCCTATGACGATTATTAAGTGTCGTACCTGATGATTCTTGACTCTTGACGAATGTATCTTCTTTTATGTACACTGAGAGCATTTGCACCAAGGGAAATTCCCTATGTGTCCAATTACACTTGGCCGATAAAGAATTCTATTCCATTCCATTCCATTCCATTCCATTCTATTCTATTCTATTCTATTCTATGGGTGACATAGCAGTGTCCCGATATTTGAGGGGCTGCCCCAAAGAAGAAGGAGTCAAGCTATTCTGCAAAGCACCCTAAGGCGGGACAAGAAGCAGCGGGTGGAAACTAATTAAAGGAGAGAAACAGCCTAAAATTAAGGAGAAGTTTCCTGACAGAAAAGTTAACCAGTGAAATGGCTGGCTCCCAGAAGTCGTGTCTGCTCCATCACTGAATGTTTTTAAGGAAAGACCGGATAACCATTTGTCTGATATGGTCTACGGCCGTGATGGTGAACCTATGACATGCGTGCCAGTGGTGGCATGCAGGGGCCATCTCTGTGGGCACGGGCGCCATTGCCAGCTGCTCTTCTGGTTTATGGCACACGCATGCGCACTGGCCAGCTGGTCTTTGCGGGTGCCAGAGCACCTGAAAACAGCCCCCCAAAATGACAAAAAAACCAGATCTTTGGGGGCCATTTTGGGGCACTTTTCAGGTCGTTTTTTTGCCCCCCCCCCAAATGACCTAAAAACAGGTCCAAAAGGGGCTTAAAAACAGCCCGGAAAATGGTCCAAAATGGCTTGAAAACAGGCATGTGCACCCTGGCCAGCTGGTCTTCAGTTTTCTGGTGCTCGGCACACACATATGCACACGCATTCCAGCCTGGGCACCTGATGCCAAACGGTTCGCTATCCCTGGTCCTGAGACTGGATTAGAAGTTCTCCAAGGTTCTTTCCAATTCTCTTATCCTGTTATGCTCTGTTTGGAGTCTCTGTTCTTCTGCTCTGGGTGAACCTTCTCACCCTCTTGCCTTTCTCTCACACACTCACTCTCTCTCTCTCTCTCTCTCTCTCTTTGTCTTCAGTATGACCCTCAATTTGGAGACGCCTTTTTTAACAGCAGCAAATACGGCATGGTGAACTATCTGCTCAGGATGATGACTAGCTGGGCAATTGTCTGCAGTGTCTGGTACCTGCCTCCAATGACCAGGCAGGTGAGTTCACTGGATCCAGGCCTTTGGATGTCAGGAAATCAGCTGAGATTTACTCCCCCCCCCCCCGGATTCTCTCAGGAAAAAAACTGACCCTCTTGGCTGCCTTCCCTTTCAGCCTTCTGAAGATGCCGTGCAGTTTGCCAACCGGGTAAAATCTGCCATCGCCAGACAGGGAGGCCTGGTGGATCTCTTATGGTAAGCCAATCCGAGCTGATTGATCGGAGGTGGGAGCAAAAGGGAGGAAATAAAGTGTAAGAGCCATGGTGGCGCAGTGGTTGAGGTGCAGTACTGCAGGCTGCTTCTGCTGACTGCCGGCTGCCTGCAGTTTTGGCAGTTCGAATCTCACCAGCTCAAGGTTGACTGAGCCTTCCGTCCTTCCGAGGTGGGTCAAATGAGGACCCAGATGGTTTGGGGGAAGAGGCTGAGTCTGTAAACTGCTTAGAGAGGCTGTAAAACACTGTGAAGTGGTATATAAGTCCAAGGGCTGGTTTCCTCCCGCCCTCTCAGTAGTTAGAGTGCTGTATTGCAGGTTAAACTGCCCACTGCTAGCAGTTCGATCCTGACAGACTCCAGGTTGACTCATCCTTCCATCCTTCTGAGGTGGTTAAAATGACGACCCAGGCTGACTCTAAACCTCTTAGAGTGGGCTGGAAAGCACTGTAAAGTGGTATATAAGTCTAAGGGCTATGGCTATTTTCCTTCCCTCCCTCCCTCCCTCCTTCCTTCCTTCCCTCCTTCCTTCCTTCTTTCCTTCCCTCCTTCCTTCCCTCCCTCCTTCCTTCCTTCCTTCCTTCCTTTCCTCCTTCCTTCCTTCCTTCCTTCCTTCCTTCCTTCCTTCCTTCCTTCCTTCCTTCCCTCCCTCCCTCCCTCCCTCCTTCCCTCCCTCCCTCCCTCCCTCCCTCCCTCCTTCCTTCCTTCCTTCCCTCCCTCCCTCCCTCCCAGCCAAGAAGCTTCTTCAGCTGACTTGGATGGTGGGGAACGGATATAAATCCTTACATTCCCCACCATCCTGTCAGAGCTGAAAAAGCTTCTTGGATGAGGAACGAAACGTCTTCAAAAGAAAAAAAGAAAAAAGTCCAGTTGCCCCTGGGGGTGTGTGGGTGGGGGAACCACCTTTGGGACCACCGTGGCCTGGAGGATGGAGAACCTCCACGGACCTTGAAAGCCCCGTCCTTTAGGCTCCCCAAACACCCTTTTCCCAGCCGACCTCCTGCTCGGGCCCCGAGTGACCGTTACGCTCTGACAGCCGTCCCACTTCTTCCGCAGGGACGGGGGCCTGAAGAGGGAAAAGGTGAAGGACGCCTTCAAGGAGGAGCAGCAGAAGCTCTACAGCAAGATGATCGTGGGGAATCATGAGGACCGGAGCCGCTCCTGAGCTTCCAGGGATGGGAATCCGGGGAGGGGAATCCCTGACAGCACTGACTGCCTAAGAACAATCTCGGGTCTCGGGACGCCTCAGTGACCGGCGGCAGCAGCATTTCAAGCTTTGGGAGGGCGGGGTTCCTCATTCACTAGCGCCTCCCCACCCTCCCCTCCCCTTCCCATGGTGCTGCTGCCTTGCGCCCAGAAGGAAAGAGACCTTGTGTCCTAAGTTCTCCAGCTCAAGCCCGGGAGCGGCAACGGAGAGAGTTTGGCCACCGCTGGCAAGACGCAGCGCTGGCCCATCGTTTGCCGGGATCGGCTGAAGTCCACCTGGGTCCCCCCCACCCCACCCCAGGGGACGGGCCGGCGGGACCTCTGCCGCCAAACGAGAGATTCCCCCCTCCCCCCTCTTCCTGTGGGGAGCGCTGCAGAGGGCGGGCCGACGCCTCCTTGCCACTCCCGCCCTCCTGTCTCCCCTCTCCAGAAAAGCCGAATGCAGCTGCCGCATGGGCTCCACCCCACCCCACGCCCCACCCCCCTCTGCATTTTGTATTAAATAATGTTGAAGGACGCAGTCCGGTGTCGAGTCGTGTTCCCTCGGCCTCCGCTGCATTGTTGCTCTCTGGGCGTTCAACGGGGGGGGAGAGGCTGCCTCAGAAACCAGCCTTAAAGAGTTGGCGCCTCCTTCCCCTTCACTGCTCCACGTTAATGCCTTTCTCCTGGCACAATTGGAAGGATGGGGCGGGGCGGGGGGGGGGGGGATTGGCCTTGGAAAAACCAGGCTAAGCAATTGATAAATTGGGTGGTGCAATCAGGTGACTCCCCGCGGGAGACCGGTTTGACCCCTGAAGAACTTGGGACTTTGGAAACTTGGCCCGCCGTCAGCAGATTCTGCAAATAACTCTGGGCCGAATTACACAAGGCTTCATTTCCGTGCCTGTCCCCTGCCAGCTTCCAGCCTTCCCAAGTAATCCCCGCTCAGTTTCAGCTGTAAAGAAAGGCAACATTTAGCACTTGCTGAGCCAGGCAGACGGTTTTGGTGGCTGAAGTCAGCGGCCCCGACTTCAGGAAGCCCCGATACCTGGCAACCCAGCCGTTTTAAAGTCTGCCTCGACGGCATGCCACTCATCCCTTGGCTCCTCCTCCCAGGGCATTTGGGTCCTCTTGCGCTTGGTTCCCTTGCAGTGCTCCTTGTTAACTTCGGAATAAGCATTACTTCTGGCATGGACTTGGGTGGAAACCATACACCCAAAGACCAAGGAGGCATCAGAGAGCGGTCTCTGCATCCGACTTCTTCATTGAGAGCCTGAACAGGCTTCCACCAAGCCCATATTTCTAGCCCGCTCTGATTCCTCGATTAAATTGAAGCATCAACCCCTTCTGAATGAACCAGTCTCCCTCTTAACCCTGCAGTCATGTGGTATCCACAAGCTCTTAAGGCCCTCAGCTCTTCCTCGGTCCTTGAGGATCAAAGGCCTCACCCTAGATCCGTGGTAACGAACCCATGGCACACATGGCGGAAGTGGCATGCAGAGCCGTTACTGCTGGCAGAGCGAGTAATCACATTGAAAAGGTGTACTGCGCATGGCCGCCTGCCAGCTGATCGTTGGATATCTATTGCAGGGGTACGGAAGCGCGCAGGAGATACACACGTGCCGAATCATGTGTCATGCGTAGGGCGTAGTGGGTGCATGCACAGAAGTACAAGAGGCATGGGGCGTCCGTGCACATTGCCTTCTGGGTGATGGCATGCGAGGACAAGCATGCTTGCAATTATCGGCACAGGAGCCCAAAAACGGTTAGCCAACACTGCCCTAGATTGACTGGAGCAAACCTGGTTTTTAGGATTTCAGAAGGTGGCCCCCTTCCCACTGGACCTCAAGCCGGAATTCCTGGCTGTGAAACTGGGGTGTTGTGTCTGTACAAGGAGGCGGCCCTCTAGATGGTAACCCCATTAGTCTTGCATGTGTGATCATCTCCGCTCGAATTAGAAACAAGTTTCTCATCCTTCAAACATGAAACAAGATATATTATCTACAAATAAATAGCTAATGTATATCTTGGGAGAAGGTGTGTATGCAGGGGTGGGATTCTACCAGTTCGCAACTATTCGCTAGAACCGGTTGTTAACATTCTAAGCAGTTCGGAGAACCGGTTGTTAGAAGAAAATACTGGCCTAATCCTGTAAGGAAGGCAGGAAGGAAACATTCTGGTGTTGCTTACAGAAACTGCCTCTCTGTTAACCCTTATTACACTCTTGGCAGGACTAGACTTCCTGTCTCAGGAACCTCCTGAGTTTTTTTGCCCACTCCTTTGCTGGTACTTTGCTTGTGTGGAGTGACCATTCAAAGTTACAATGGCACTGAAAAAAGGGACTTAGGACCATTTTTCACACTTACGACTGTTGCAGCATCCCCACAGTCACGAGAGGCCAGGCGAGGAGATGCGTGCCTCGATGTGAGTGATGTTGAGTTGGCCACGCCCAGCCAGTCACAGGACCACCAAGCCATGTCCACCCAGTCACATGACCAAGCCATACCCCCCCACCTAAGCCACACCCACAGAACCGGTTGTTAAAAATGTTGAATCCCACCCCTGTGTGCATGTGTGTGTATGCACACACACACGCACACGCTTTGTGAAAGTACTCGGAAGCAGAGGAGCATCCCCCTTTGAATTGTTAAAGCAGCCGCATCCTTTGCACCACTTAACTGAGGTGGATAATCTCAAGAAAACACGGACCTCTACATGAATAACGGATGCCCAGATTTGGTAGTACAACCTGTGTGAAAAAGAATCCTGTGGAATGTTCTCTTTCAACGCGCTGGACTGCCGCTCCCCTTGTCTCCCAAGCCAGCATGATAACCTAAGTCTCTCTTCGCCGGAGGTGATGAGGGCTGTCCTCCAACTTTAGGAAGGCTCTAACTGGACCGCCTGTAAAGATGTTCATGGCGAAGAAACGACTTACCTTGCCTTGCTCAGCCCTTCCTTCTTTCCAGCAGACAGACAGACAGACTGGAAGAATTCTCCGGCATCTTACGTTTTCCAAGGAGGACTTTCTTCAACTTGGAACCTGCCGCCTTCGATCCAACACCAGCGCATCGCCTGTTCCCACCCAAGATTCTCTGTCGGGGTTGCCCTCTTTCGAGACATGCAAATGTTCTTCCTCCAACTCCTTTGCCTGAAGTCCCCGAGAACGTGGGATTATCTTAGATCGGCACGGGCCTGTTGGAAGGGCTGTCCCTTCACAGCCAAGCGGAAGAAGTCCACACCTTGGACAGGTTCGGGTTCCCAACCTTCTCAACTTCCTGGACGGGGAAAAGCAACAGGCCTTCTAGGGAGCAGCCCTTTTTCTTTTCTTTTTTCCCTTGTTTGTGTACAACCCTGAACTTTGGTCCGATCTGGTGAAAGATAATTCCGAACAAGCAGCTCCTTAGTTGCTCCGTTGCCTGTCGCCTTGGTGTCTCTCAACCTGTGAATTAAAAACTAGCGCCAAGTCTACGGCAATCATTCTATCACGTCTCCATTCGATCTGGGAGAACAAGTTTTGTGGTTTTTTTTCCCTAAGGGTATTTCAAAGCTAGGAGAATTCTGGGTAGGCCATGGACTTTGTGCAACACGGCCAAGAAGTAGAATGTGTGTGTGTGTGTGTGTGTGTGTGTGTGTGTAAGGGTCCTGCCTTCCTTGCCTGTCTTCATTACAGAATCCTTTCTGGAGCGTTCTTGGAGTTGTCTGAGCTTGGCGGTTTTGTTTTCTTTTCTTTTTAAATAAATTTTATTGAGTAAACATTAAAAAAACAACTGAACACAGTGCGACTTTCTTGGCCATCATTTTGGCCATACAAGCTATAGGATAGAGATACACATAACAGTTAAATTTCCTTTTCCCCTTAATGTTATTAGTATAGTGCTAGCTGCATATTATTCGAGCTTGGTGATTTACTTGCGGACGGTTCATTTCCCAAACTAGCTAAGAAAACCACCAAGTTCAGACAGCCTCTAAAGGACCTTCCTTTCCACCCTGAGCTACGGATCTTCTCTCTGGGTACGATCCTTTCTCCAATGGTTTGGTTTCACACACTTCCTTCAAAACATCTTCGAGGAGGTAGCTTTCTCTGGAGTAATACTAGAGTCCCCACTAAGGGAGGGGGGGATCCTGCCATTGTGGTATTATCAGTGATGGGATTCAAAATCTTTTACTACCGGTTCTGTGGGCGTGGCAGGGGAAGGATACTGCAAAATCCCCATTTCCCTCTCCACCCCACTAACCTGCTTTCCAGCTCCGTTCTCCTGGGCAGGGCAACCAAAGAAGACCCAGCCGATCAGCTGGGACTCAATGGGAGGCGGGGAAGAGATGGGGTTGGCCGGTTCTCCAAACTACTCAAAATTTCCACTACCGGTTCTCCAGAACTGGTCCGAACTGGCTGAATACCCACCTCTGGGTATTATGGGATAATCTCTTCTTTTCCAGGAAAAACTATTAAGAAATTAACCACCTAGGTTCTTTGCCCACAAATAGAGTGAAGAATTGCTTCAGTTCTGATTGTGAATCGCTTTTGCAGATGATACTACCCCAATTAACGTTTGAAACAAAGGCCTCTTTGCTTCACCCATGAAATACTTGGTCAACCCCCTCGGGTCTCCAATAAAGGAGAAATGTTGAGGTAGAATTCCATAACAGGGGGAAATGTCTCAGCAGGCAGCCTCTTTTCCTAATTTCTCGGTATCCACAACAACTCTCTTAAAATTATAGATCTGTTTGATATGCCCAGTCAAGGGCTGGGCAAGAAATCAACACACCTTGTTTAACACTTAGATTTTTAACACAGGTAGCAATAACACGGCAACGGAGATCGTCAGCAATGACTAGCAGCGACATTCCCTTCCCAGATATATGAGGAGTGGAAAATTTCTCAGATTTCCCTTGGGTAGGAGGTTATTAAGTGGTCCAAAATGAATCTGTACGTGCATGTGGTGTATGTGTGTGTGCCGCTGCAAGCGGTTCAAAGAAAGCCACCTTAGCAGTGGTGGGATTCAAAAAATTTTACTACCAGTTCTGGTAGGCCGTGGCTTGGTGAGCGTGGCTTGGTGGGCTTGGCAGCGGAAGGATACTGCAAAATCCGCCTTCCCTCCCCACCCCACTAACCTGCTTTCCAGCTCTGTTCTCCTGCACAGGGCAACCAAAGGAGACCCAGCTGATTAGCTGGACTCGATGGGAGGCAGAGAATAGATGGGGTTGGCGGGACCAGTCAGAGGTGGGATTGGCCGGTTCTCCAAAATACTCAAAATTTCTGCTACCGGTTCTGTAGAACCGGTCCGAACCGGCTGAATACCCACCTCTGCACCTTGGGCGTCACACCTTCCCTGGACGAGGCAGCTGCGTCTCCCAGCCATCACCTGTCTGGCAAATCTGTTGGAAGGACAGCTGTCCAGGGAGCCAAGGAGGGAAGCAAATAGAGAGAGCCGAGAGCCGAGAGGCATCCATAGCTACAAGGCCACCCAGGTGACTTCAGAAGCATCCATCTCGCCTGAGTGTCCCCCTCTGGCGCTCCTGCCACCATCGCTCCCC